GGAGTTCTGCCTTTCCCTAGCTTCCCTGTAGAGATTTCACGTGGTAAATATGGTCACCAGTGCCATCTGTATAAATACATGGGTGTGTTGTGTTAATTCAAGACAACAGTTCTTGTGGGGAATGCAATTAAGTTTTTATTTTTACATTTCCTCACCAGATGGTCTCAAATATATATTTATCTTCCAGAAAAAAAATCCTGATCATCCTGGTTTTGGTGAGGAAATTGATTGGCATATATGCTTGACCACCAACTAGCACAGTGCATGAAATAAACCTAGCTTCAAATCCAACCTTAGTATAATTCCCCTAATAGCATTTCAGTTGCTCCATGGATGTTTTTGACCCATACTACCTGTAGGCCAGTCGTACAGGGGGGATGGAGTCATTACTGTGTTATAAACAGTCTCTCTCATATTCTTGGTGAAAAACTTTCTTTTTGGCAAATGGTTTCACTCTAACATGGCCTGTTTTCCTCAGTCGACATTCCTTTCTAACATTCATATCAAAGCTGAGGTGAAATAAAAATTCATGTTGTAGTGGTGACAGAAGGAGTTGTTACACAAGATGTAAAGTTTCCCTTGGACTTCATGTCACTATTTTTTCTCATTATTTAAACAAGGAATACATTGAAGTGGTGCAGGTACCAGGCAATAAAGATTTCCCCTGGTGCTGACAAACCCTGAGACCGCAAATGGAGGTGCTTACATGCCACAAGAGATGTTGCTACATTTCTGTTCTTTTCCTCCAGTCTAGGTATTGCTGTCACAGAGGAAATGTCTTTTATGTAAAACAATTATAATGTAAACATTACATATTTCTAGTAATGTAACAAGGGTTTATTTCATTGTCAATATATTTTGTTTTGTAATATGTGGAAGGAGTTTCTGAGGATAAAGTTAGAAACTTGTAGTGTATATATGTTGTTGGAATTTCCTTACGTATTTTCATAGTAGTTCTGTTATTTTGTGTAGCAATAGCAAAGCTCAATAAAGGAAAGGTATGCCATTTAAAAGAGAAATAAGATGAGAAAAAATACTTATTTTATAATCTCAATTCTGAATGCCACTTTTGTACGTGGCGCATATGCAGTACCAATATTTAAGTCTATTTGCAAAGGTTTGGCAAATGAAATGTCTTCTTGTGCCTATGGGTTGTTAAAAACAGAAAAAGGAAACAATCAGAAAAGACCATTTATTGGAATTCTGTAGTTCATTATGGGTTGCTGATATGGGCAGTGAGGTGTACGTGGTGTGCTAATTCAGAGAGGAAATATTGAAGGCCGGTCTTGATTTTGAACAGTAGATGGTTGTATGTAGAAGGTAAACACAGACATAAAACATGTCATTTTGGTCAAAATAAGAGTGAGGTCACAGTTGGACACAGTAAGTGCTTAGCCATTCTGATTTTATCAGCTATTTTAAATGAAGATAAGGGGTGTAGTTTTTATGAACCTTAGGAGGGTAGCAAATTTTTTTTTGAAAACTTTCTTATTTAAGAAGATCATTTTAAAAAATAAAAGTATATTCAGTTGAAAGATTTCAGCATCTCTACAGATTGGAATAAGGTGATTTTTTTTTTTAATGTTTTATGAGTGGATGCTGTCATGACCCAAAGGCATGATTTTGTGTGTGCTTCGGCACCAGAATTATCCCCGCCAAGTTGCAGCTTCATTGCACGGGAGAGTTTCCTGTTGCAGAGGAAAACCCTGGTGCAGGGACGAGTTTCCCGCCTTTCTGCAGCTTCTTTTGCAGAGTGCATTGCTCAAGTTGCAAGAGGAATGCACGGTGCAAAAGAGTTCCCGCCACCAGTATGCAAATTCGTTCCCCGCTATTGGCTAGTTTTAAATTATTCCCACGTGGCGGCTAATGATTGGCCTGTTAGCCGTATAAGAGGCTTGAGCGGTTTC